CACTTAACATCTACCTAAAAGAATGGCGGCTATTTGACAGATCTTAATAATTTAGTAATATTGTTTCATGCTTCATTTAACAAGAAAAGATGCAAAAATTAATTTCTCTCATTTGATTTTTTTTCTTTTTTTGTGGCTTGCAAAGCCCACCACTGTTTCTCTTTGATCGGGGCATAGGTCATGAGAACTTCCAAATACAATAGGTTATAGCACCTACTGACTTTTCTATAGATTCAAGGAAGGACTCTGCCTAGGAAGTTCCTAGAGTCACTAAAATAAGAAATAGTCTTCCCATTATTCTAGTGCTTGTTTCATAGTTTCATTCCCTGGCAACCAGGAGCAACTCCCAAATCATTTCTGACTTGTACATGTTTCCCACCTGGGACAAAGACACTCCTTCACAGCACCATGACAACCACACCAGCAACACAAGCGCTTGGGTTCGTGCAGGAAAATGAAAATCCTGAAAGGAAGCTAGGAGATAAAGGCTTACTATTCCTTGTTTCCCACTGGTAGGAAGTAATTACAAAAATTACTTTAACACAAAGCTTCTGGTGAGTGAATAGTTCGTAATTTGATGGGAGAAGCTTAAGGGCCTAGGGGATTAAATAAAAAATATGAAAAGCTGAATGATGTCATCCAAGCACAGCTCCCTCCTTCCCCCCAAAATAGACTGCCTAAAGCAAACTTCTTATGGGCAACAATGTAGACATTCTTCAGAGATGGTCAGGGGTATGTTTTGTTTTTCATCTAAGTTTAGACTCAGATGATTGATTTAACAGTGGAGGTGAACTTTATGACCCTTTAAGGTTAATTAACCATGTTTTTACCAAATAAAATTTCAAAAACCAGTAAAATATAAACTCGTTTTCTCCAAACTGAATGTCCAGAAATGGATGTGATTTCCATCCTCCCAAAGCAGCAGAAATCAAAAAGAAAAAAAAAAAAAAAAAAGAGTGAAATTCAACTCTCCCCCCATGATGAAGTAGATAAGGTTCTTTTGACAAGTTTTTTATCATAGGCATGAACAGCTTACGATGAAAGGATGGTATTTCTTTGCTAGGAACTGGCAGAACCATGTGTTACAAACACCTGCCAATTCTACACTGAAAGAGATTATTTACGCTGCCAAACGTAAAACTGTTTTAGGTCTTAAAAGAGTAATTCTAAAGGAGAGTACTGCATCTGTGATTTTACAAGTTCAATATATTTTTAAACAGTTCTTCACATTTTTCCACATTTTAAAAAACAATACAACTTCCTTATGAAGAGCTGAGGAAAGAGAATCTATGTAATATATGGAAATGGTTGCAGGTTTGTGTTATTGTTGAATCATAGCATATATTATCTCAACAAGTTCAAAGCTGTGAGTGACTTTTATTGGAAACCCAGATAAATATTTTAAGAGGATAAGGAATCAAAATAGATGTTTGCTTTTCATCAAGTGTAATAGCTTAGGGTTCCTGAGTGTGGTAGAAGCATATTTTCTGCTTTGCGTTTAGTTTTGTGTTTGTGTTTTGAGGACACAATGTCCTCCTCTCCTATAGTGATAGGTAGCAAATATCTTTCATGGGCTTCCAACTCTGTGCAAGGAACACCTTCTGATTCTCATTAATATGAACTTGGAAAACAGAGAGAAGAAGGCAAGCAGAGACATTGCAAGCATCCACGAGCCAATACGTGTCCCCTGACTCCAAGCTAACCTTTACCCATCCCTACCCCAACATGTATATAAGGGCATTCATTCATTGACGCTGACATATGATTATGAAAATATACTGTGTATTTTTTTATTCACTCACTTTTCCAATGGATCTTTGAACTCAAATATCCAAAATTATACCCATTTGTCATCCTCCATCAAGCCTATTTCTATTTCCCATTTTCAATACCTGAATTCTGGAAAGAGAATCCTCTAGTGTTTCATATCAGGATTCTGAGTCATCCTTGTTCATTCTCTCTCTCCAACCCCAATATATACCGCATCAAATAACCCCATCAGTTCTACTTCAGTCTCAATCCAATTTGTCTCCTTCTCTCTGTCTCACTTGTATCACTTAGTTCAGAACATAACTGGTTTTAATTTAGCATACTTGCTCCAAACTACAGAAATTAAATGAATGTCAGTTCTGAGTTGCTAAGCTGACAAAGCAACACATGTGGCCACGCAATTATGGAGACAACTAGCAAAATACAGCAGGATGTTTATTTATAGGGGCCCTAATGCTGAAACTCTGTTGGGTGAGAAGTGCTTTATTTATGGTAACAACTCCTGATGACTTGCTGTCAGAGAAATTTATGAAGACCGTGTCCCTCAAATGCATTTCTAAGTACATCTTATGTATTTTAATCCTCTTTTAATAACTTATTGAAGAAAGACTGCATGTGTCTCCTAAAATAATACCCTGAGTTGATCCAGACAAAGCACTATTTTATATGATACTATAGCTTTCATTTATAAATCAATATACCTTCTAAACCTAGAATCTGTTCAGTTCTACATTTGAGAATGATGGAATAAGGTGTAAAAATATATTCTTAATTTCGGTTGGAAAGTATGTAGTCCATGAAAAAGCTTGGCTCTCAGTCATGTGACCAAGAAGTTAAAAGAAGAATTTTAAAGTTAAAGTATAGTACTTAAGGTTCTGAATCTGAATCTCTTTTTACCCTAAGAAGACATTTGCATTTCTGAAATATATGGTTATAATTTAAGATTCTCAAAAGGAAGTAAATTGATAATCACTAGCAACTCAGTTCAGTCAGAACTTCTTAAGTAAGAAAATAAAAGTTGTTAAGCTCATACTAAAGTTTACCATGGAACATATGTTATATATTATATATATTATATATTATATATATATGTTATATATTGGGTCAAGTTTTAAAGTAATCGTGAATCAAGAAAGGAACCCCTCCTCCTTTGACTGATGATTGCTGAAAACCTTTCCAAAATGTATTTTATGGCTTTCTTCAACTATAAATTAATCTTGTCACAATTGAAAAATTAAAAATAAAGTCTTCAGTGTCTGCATTCTTAAAAACAACTCATTATAAAATCAGAGTAAGTCGAGGCTGATGCTACTTGATATTTTAAATAATTTTCTAAATTAATGTCCAAAATTGCCTTAATCTCATCTAATTCTTATAAATTTATATGCTCTGACTACTAAATTATTTTCCTTAATCTAGTATCTAAAAATACAATAGGTATTAAACATAGTATTTCTCACAATTTTCCTATTTCAATTGAAAAAATCTTCTCTCCTTTCCGTAAATATTAGACCACTAAAAAGTACCAGGACTGATATTTATAGAAATGGATACCCTCAGGGACTGAAATGGAGCAACAGAGTACAGCTTGGTGAGACTACTGGTATGATGGAAGGAGCAATTGGGAGGAAAGTCATAGTGACTTATGTATTAAGGACATTCCAGTCCTCAACTACAATTCTATAACATGTGGGCCACGCTTTTCTAAAAGATATTTAACCACTGCCTCACAAAAGATATTAGATATCATTAACAACTAAACTACAGAAAAAGTACTGTATCCTATTATCTGTCCTTTGACATAACCAGTCTTCTGATTTAGAATGACATTTTTAAAACATGAAAATATAAATGAGAGCTAATAGGAATGTATTCACAACATGAAGGCAAGCAATGCCTAACTGTTCAACTTTAAACTCCTAACATGTAAATCTTTGTACAAAATAAGTAACATTAATAATTAATAGCAGTAACAACAGCTAGCACTGGTTAACCATCTACTATTGTTGAGGGTTACATTCAACAATTTGCATATATTATTTCCAAGACTTATTATAATTGTGCAATGTATTTTAATTCTTTATTCACAGATAACTGAGGCTCAGAAAGGTTAACTACTAATCTAAGGTAAGAGAACAACTTGATGTTTTAGAGCTATTATTCGCATCTGTCTAAATGCAGTGTACTCTCTTCCGATTACACCACAGTGACGCTCGCTCTAGGATAGGCACACATTTCATAGTAATGCACCTATTAATTCAGTGCTGTTGCTTCAAATCAGAAATTTCTCAAAAACTCTTCAGGCTGAGTTAACTTTAAATTTATTTTAAATTGTACTATTCCATTAGTACGGCATATTAAGGGAAACATGGTATCTGAAAATCAAACTTGGTAACAACTTTCAGGAGGCAAGATATCATGAATCAAGAATCAGATTGTTAAATTAAGAAGATTATTTATATTCCTGACATTTTCCCTGGGGGAAATTTCTATTATCTCTAATTCAGACAGTTGGCCTGACAAAAGGAAATACAGACTTTTTGAAATTTTGCTAAAAAAACATAGATTCTCAAATTTCCTTTCTTTTCCATAAAGGGAACTTCTACACCCAACTTATAAAAACATCTCTTTAATAACAAATTACTTTCAGATTTCATTAAAACACACAAAACTAGAAAAGCTTCACATGCCATAATTTAATTGACTTTAGTGGTCCAGCCTATTTTGAAATAAAATTTGGCAGAATCACTCAACTCATTCTCTCTCCCATATTATAAAAAGGTTTGCAAAATAGACCTCAAAGTCAAATAGCATTCTTATTTTCAAATGTGTCTATCACATATCTACCTCTGTGCCATGTCAATATATCTCATTTTAGAAGTTTGAAAATAATACTAATAACTCATAATTTAGATACTTCTACAAAACAAAAATATTTTCAAGTTTTAACAGAAGTGAGAGAAAAGATAATTTTAATGTGAAACTTTAATAGAAATCATAAGTTGCAAACATATTGGGAACACGATAATGCACTGGAATAAAATAATATCAATAATACTATATTCCACTATGGGTTTAAAAAAAGGCAGGCCATATTTCATGATTTATAAACTTCTTTCACTACCTCCACATTATGCAAGAACACATGACTCTCTTAACTGACTGGGAGAGTTGTTTTCATCATATCTTAAAATTATGGTTAATTATTAAGCCTTGTCAAAGATGCCTACCTCTGTATTGGCAGTCGTGGGACATGTTTACGGGAGCCCGTTCTACTGCTGATCTCTTGTAGACAACATGAATCCTTCCATTTTTTTCCTCCATCTGCTTACCTCTTTCCAAAGGCTCAATGAAATATTCCTCATCATCACTTTTTATCATTCCAGCCTAGAGAAAGCATAAAATGTGTTAATTTTAAAAAAAGAAATATCTGTCATTTTTAGCTCACAAGTACCTTTTTAAATGGCAAGAATAATTTCACAATAATTTGTGAAAGCTCATGCTTTTTCTTTCCACTTTTGGCTATAAATTTAATGTGGTTAAGTAATTCATATAAGACAGAAATTCATAAATGGCAGGAATAAAATAATTCATTAAGGTATAATAAGAACTTTACACAGGGTAAGAATAAGAAAATTACACAATGTATCATTTCATTAGACTGCAAAAGAAGTACATTTATATATTCTACTTGGTATTTTACCTCTAAAAGAAATCTTATAGGGGAAATAAACTCAAGAAACATCTCCAATATCTCATAATCAACCATTGTGGAGCTGCTGCCCACGCATGGTTAGTATTTTTTTTTTAACTCATTTACATTTTCCTTCCATACCACTATGGTATGAGAAGAATGAGTTCCTTTAAAACGCCTCTTTAAGCCTTAGTGGAAACCCTGCATTTCCAGTATTTATTAATTTGAAGAACCAACTCATATTTGTCCTATCTTAAACTAACACTTGATGATTTTATACATATTTTTCCTTCCTCAAGCCTAATCCTTCCCTACTAAAAAAGTTATGCTTGCATTCATTGCCTTCTACCTCACTAATATTTAGAGTCTTTTTCTGGCTGTTTCCTCTTTTATTTAGAAAATACCAGGACTATATTCAGTACTATAGCTGAATAGAAATGATGGTTTTTGTCTGAAATTGGCTCCTCATTAGGTATCAAGTCCACATTACAGTCAACTAGTTACAGCTCATATTTCTAATTTAAAGGTCATACATTAATATGTAGTAAATTTAAATTTCTGTGCTTTTATTTGAAAATAAAGTTGAAGAAATAATGTATTAGTGTGGGAATTGTAATTATTTTGGAAATACACATTGGATCTAGAAGTAAGTCATATTTTTCTTCTGAGGCCTTGGCTTATTCTCCATTTTCAAATACAGGATCACTGGCTCTCATGAAACATGGGCTGGGCCTTGGGGATACTCATCCCTTCTAGCTGTCGTTCTAACAGGTCCACTACTCTCTGTTGAGGAACAGAGACATGAAAGGTAGGTACACCTTCCCAAATGACATTTGTTTGCAGCAAATATGCCTGACTGTAGCTCTTCTATTGCATTCAAATCTGTTCCCTGGTTTCCATTCTGACTTCTTCCACCTGGCATGCTCTATGCCCTCCTTCCCCTGTGTAAGCTTCATGGGGAGGTCTTAGAAGCTAAGGTGTCCCCACATGCATTTCTGCACTCACCCTGATGCTATGCACAAACAGCCCTTGACTTTATGTGACCATGGCTCACGAGAAAACATCACCACTGCTCCTTCACCATGCTTAGTCCTTACCCTCTTGAAGAAACTTCTAGCCTTCACTAAAAAGAACACTGAGCTGATGGGCATTGGATATTCATGCTGACCTTCGAGACCTAACTCCCATATTTGGAGTTGTTTTCTCATCTGGTCAATCACTCTTCGCCTACTCCTGTACTATGAAATGCAGTGTTTTTTACAAGGGGCCTGATTAATCTTTACCCTTCAGAGTTGTTCCTACTGTCAATGGATCTCCTCTACAAATATAATTTCCAATATTTTTCTCATGCTTTCCGGTTGTCATTTTAATCTCTTTAGCATTGGTGTCCTATTCTTATATCTCTTTTTACCAGTAATTTCAACATCACTGTTTTTGCCCCTCTCAGGCATGTATGGTTTAATAACGTTCATAAAACACATCCAAACTAAGCTTGTACCATGTCCAAGGCTTAAATGTCCAGGCTCATCACTAATGCCATCCATTGGTGGTAGGCAGTATTAAAGTATTAACTGGCTTTATCTTGAAAACACTGGTCTGTTGATATACATTTAAATTTATAAATTGAGGTATATCAGCATGGGGCTTATTCATCTTTATTCTAGTCTTTTCTTTGCACCAAATCCATCCAGTCACCATGTTCTATAAAGTTTCTTACTTTCTTATCCCATCCTTCTATTTCCACCACCACTTCCTTAGTTACAGACCTCATCATTGCTCATCTGGATTACAGAAACTGCCTCCTATCTTGAGACTTCCCATAAATCAAAATGTTTCTCCCAGATGAGTGCCTAACTGTAGATGGAAACAGTGGTCAATGAAGCAACTCTGAGCACTGGGCAATGGCTAGTGTGGACACTTGAAAGTGATGGGGAGGCAGTGAGGATTAGCTCACATGCCTTTAAAAAACATTTCTACATACCTCCTATTGCAAATATTCAAATCCCAGGCCCCATGATATTACTTTCCCCACCAAGCCAGATTCCATTTCCTGGCTCTTTTTACAGTTGGCTGTGAACCGTGTTACTGTATCCTACCCAGGGAAGTAAGTGGTAGTGGTGAATACCAAGAATAGGGCTAGCTCAATAAAACCTCCCATGTGGGCTTCCTTAGGCTGTTTCCATTATGACTGGGCAAACACAGGTAATACAAGAATTTAACACAGCTCAGCCTCTCCCTTAGGAGGCAATGAAAATTTAAGCCAAGCTGAGGTGATATCAATGGCAAGGCAATGCTGGGTCACATGACCCCCGATAACTCCATGGTCAAAACATCTAAGAGCCTACCCTTTTATTCATTAATTTAAGCAAAGTTTAATTTAAAAAGTACCTTATCTAAAGCACCATACTAACTCTGAGAAACAAACTGAGGGTTCTGGAGGGGAGGGGGGTGGGGGGATGGGTTAGCCTGGTGATGGGTATTAAAGAGGGCACGCTCTGCATGGAGCACGGATGTTATATGCAAATAATGAATCATGGAACACTACATCAAAAACTACAAAAAAAAGGGGGGCTATCTCTGTATTACTTCTTATAATTGCGTGTGAAACTAAAATTATCTCAAAATAACAGTTTTAATTAAGAAAATATATATGATCAAAAACATTAAATAAATAAAACACCATTCTAGACGCAACAGTAAATAAAAGCTTCTCAAAGATATGGTTTGTTTGCCCTCTAGTTTAGGGTAATCTAGTCAAATAAACAAAATATATACCTACTGGTATTCAGTGAGGTTATGTTACAGAAAGTCCAAAAAGTAAGTGATACCGCCCTTGAGACTCAAATCAAGTGAGATTTTTTTTTTCCCCACAAGTTTACTGCACACACACCACATTGTCAGTAGGAGCTGTTCATTCTATATCCAAAATGCCTTAAAATCTATTCCAACTGAAATATCGCTAGTCCCCACGGGGACTTCACTTTGGCCATTGCTATTGTTCACACTGTCTCCCATTCTCCTATAGCACAGAAGCCAAAATGGCTCTTGCAAGCTGTCATATTACTTTAGACAAACGAGAAGGTGGTAACAAATGGGCAGGATGTGTAATGGCTCAACGCATAAGGTGCTTCGTTCTTGCTCACATAAAAGCTCAGGGTAGTTCTAGGTCAGCTGGGAAGGGGTTCTGTTCCACACAGCCATGCAGGTGTCCATGCTGAAAGTGGCTCTACCATTTCATAAGGGGCTCCCAAGTTTGCCCAGTCAGAAGGCAAACAGCATGAGGAAGTCCCCACGGGAGGTTTTTATGAGCTAGTCCTAGCTGTGGGGCTATTCACCACCACTCACCATGTAGCTATTTACCGCTACCATTTACTTCCATGCACAAGATACAGTCACACGGCTCCAAGCCCACTGCAAAGAGAACCAGGAAATGGAATCTGGCTGGGTGCCCAGGGAGAAGAGACAAGTGGATTTTAATGAACAGATGGCAGTCTCAACTTCAAGTAAGATCATGTCACGCCTTTGCTTAAAACACTTCAATTGCTTCCCATTGCACTTAAAACCACACTCCTTCTCATGGCCTTCAGCGCCTGCCTCATCTGGCCCTGCCCATCAACCTCAGGCGGCTCTACACTCACCTGGCTTACTATGCACCATCCTCAGGGCCTTTGCCCAGCTCTGTTTTTCCTTTGATATTTCCAACCTCCTTGTTGCCTCGGGCCTTTGAAATGTTGTTGGTTCTACTTAGAAGCCTCCTCTCCCAACATACCACACTTTCCTTAGTGGGCTATTTTTCATTCTCTGGGGGTCTCAGCTTAAATGTGAATTCCTTAGAAATTACTTCCTCACCTCTACCTACATTAGGTGCTCCCGTCTACATTAGGTGCTCCTGTCTAATGTGGCATCATTCTGACTCAGAGCTGTGTGCTCTTTGATCTCATGACCCTTCACACAAATTTCAGGTTGTTTTACCTAAATGTTAAATGTATTATCCTCTGTCTCCCCAAGGGCCAACTCCTAAGGCAGACTCTCTTCATTCATCTTGGCCTCCATAAGCCCCAGAACTATTGTTAGTACAAAATATGTCTCCAACACATTTTTTTATGAAAAGCTACAGGAATGAATGTTATAAGTGAGGGGATAACAACTTTTCAGACTTGTAGTGGTCTTCAAAAGGTGGTGTGAGAGAAGGCATGAGAAGAGAGACCGTTCAGGCTTGAGCAAGGTTCTGAAGTAAAGCCTAACACATGCTTGGGGGCAGTGAGTAACCCGCTCATTCAGAGTAGTCTGTGTGGAGCAGTTCTGGGAAATGAAGCAATGGAGGACTCATGTCCCTCGAGTCTGAACTTCAACATACAGAATGAGAACAACCACGACAACAGTGGATCAGTGGATGAGAACAAAGTGGTTTGGGAAGATTGATCTGACAATTACCTGCCAGAGGGAAGAAAAGACTAGAAAGCAAGCAACATGAGGTTAAGTCAAAGTCCAGGAGGTAGAAGTGACAATGGGAGGAGAAAAGGGGAAAGAGGAGGGAAAAGGAATGAAAAGTAATTACAGGAGAAAATAAATACCTGGTGCCTTTTAAAACCTAAGTTCCTTCTGCTTTTACAGACTCCTTTTCTCTCAGATGAATAACCAAAGTTCTTATGAGGCCCGCTGAGCTTCCCCTGCTCTTGGCACTACCACCTCT